TAACTTCATTTCTGGACATTTATGGTTTGATTTCTTTGTATGTATGGATCACTTGGGTTGTTACCGACATCTGGTGAAAATTTCATGTCATTAGTTATATATTTACTGAGAAAAATGGTGACGTGTTCACTACTTATTTTACCCGCTGTATTTCCCCCGTCACAGAGGAGCTCCGGTTTGTTTCTCAACACTTTCAGGACATTTTCAGGGAAGCTGGGTCGATGAAGGCCGACCCGGAGTCCCCGGGATCCTGGTCGTACAGGAACTGCCTGAGCACGTTGCGCACCACCTCCAGGCTCAGAGTGAAGTTCCTCAGCTCCTCCTGCTGCTCCTCCGGCAGGACGAACGTCAGCTGGTACAGAACCACCGCAGACTCGTTCCTGTGGCGGGTGGACAAGAACAAAAACAAAACAAAAAATAAACACTTTGTTTGACCCTGATGGGGAGACCGTGGTGTGAGTGGGTGATGTGTTTACCTGAAAGGGAACGTGTGGGCTTGGGAGAAGTATCTTCCCAGAGCCGGGGAGGATTTGTAGAGGTCCGACAGCTGGGTGGGGCAGGTTGGAACACGCAGAGGTAAACAGACAGCATACCATTTGTTACTGAGAACACCGAGCCAACAATCATCCCTCTGCTGCTGAAAGCCTGGGAATGTTACGTGTGTTTATTTTGCTTTCCTCCAGAGCGCATTTCATTTTATTCCAGTGTGCTTATTCTTCTCTAACTACTTTACTTGAACGGTTGCAGCTGTGATAACTATAACTTCCCTCAGGAATCACTAAAGTATTCTGATTAAACCACAATCCCTGGTAGAAAAGAAAGCAGCTGTTTTTAATATAATAAAACCAAATTTCACGACTTAATAAAAAAAGTAAAAAAAAAATAACTGAAAACAAGACAAATGGTAAACTTAAGGTTTGCATTTAAATACATATATAGAGCAAGCCCGGCCTGATGTAGGTCAATTATGACACTCAAGCTTTTACATGATTCTCAGCTACTTTTGCTGGATGCTTTGTTTACACTGAGTGCAGACCCACATTTCAGAATTGCATACCAATAAAACTACTGTAGCATTTTTTTTTCAAACTGCCCCAACTGATATAGCATTTTTTAAATTAGTTTTCTAGGTTTTTATAAACTTATTTCGTTTTCTAACATCTGATTTGTACGTACTGTACAGAAAGTACAAATATAGATTCTTCAATATAGTACAGGATAAACAATTTTTAACCAGATTATTCTAAAGTTTGCAATTAGCACCTTCACCTCCTTCTGGTTCTAAAGGCCCTGTCACATTATAACGTTTTAGACAACTTATGCCAACTTGTGAACATTTTTAAGACATCTACGTTGAACGTGGAATTTAAAAAAATCAGCTGGAAGCCTCTTTTAGACACGTACAAACTGTAATGCTGAAAAATTGATCAAATATATAACTTTTGTTAGTAGTTTAGACATTAAAAAGTTCAAAAGTTGTCTAAAACATTATAGTGTGACAGAGCTTTAACAATGAGAGCCTAAACAGTCTACACCGATAATAATAATGTGTCGTTTCAAGCACAGTTGCTCAAACCTTGTCTTGTAGATCCACGAGAACTTGAGTTTCATTAGAGACGGGCTGGGAAGATATCTGGAAGCTTCCGTTAAAATGTCGTGGAACGGTGAAGAGCGAGCGGTCGAACTTCTCATCTTCATCTTCATGCAGCGCTGTTGGAGGAAAGACTTTTACACTCAAAAACACTCAGCAAACGTTGGATTCTCACTGCGAACAGGTTGACGTTGGGATCCGGACTAAAACTTGAGTTTTGTGCGATAATTTTTTGTTCTTTAATTTATGATGGATGGATGGATGGATGGGTAGATGGGTGGGTAGATAGATAGATACTGTAGATGGGTAGACAGGTAGGTAGGTAGGTAGGTAGGTAGGTAGGTAGGTACTACCGACCGACTCGGTCAGTCGGTCGGTCGGTCGTTAGGTAGGTAGGTAGGTAGGTAGGTAGGGTAAGGGAAGGTAAGGTAAGGTAAGGTAGGTAGGTACTACCGACCGACTCGGTCAGTCGGTCAGTCGGTCGGTCGTTAGGTAGGTAGGTAGGTAGGTAGGGTAAGGTAAGGTAAGGTAGGTAGGTACTACCGACCGACTCGGTCAGTCGGTCGGTCGGTCGGTCGTTAGGTAGGTAGGTAGGTAGGTAGGGTAAGGTAAGGTAAGGTAAGGTAGGTAGGTAGGTACTACCGACCGACTCGGTCAGTCGGTCGGTCGGTCGTTAGGTAGGTAGGTAGGTAGGTAGGTAGGGTAAGGGAAGGTAAGGTAAGGTAAGGTAGGTAGG